GAAGCTGTAATGATCATGCAAAACCATTTTTTCCTTCTCCATCATGTCTTCCAAGAGTTTTATGTTATATTTTTTTCAGTTTTCATTGTTCTAATTGTTAAATATCGAGTTGTTGTAGATTTTTTTAAATTGATAATGACTACTTTTTTTTATACATGTATTGTTAATTGTTAATTTTTAAAATTTTAAACCATATTAACATTTTCTGATTTAATAAATATGTTGATTTGGATTAATAAGATTGAATTTACTTTTTTTGTTGGACATAATTTGTTAAATTAACTTTTAATGTTTTAATTATACTTAATAAGTTTTGGTTTGGTTTAAAAGCTGATGTGGACCAATTAAATCAAGTTTTTCCATCTGAATCATACTTAACATTTTTTTAGTTAATGAATATGCTGATGTGGACCAATCAGAACGAGTTTTTAATCCTATGTGGACGCTCTCTAGGTATATAACTCGCGCTACGCGCGACTCGGTATTAATATTTTTGTTTAATTTTTTTAGCGAATATCTTTAAATTATTAAAAATATAATATATTTATAGAAATTTTCATTTATATAAAATAATTTAATATATAATATGTAATCTATTATATTTTTATTTATATACTTTTAAAATTTATTAGATAAAATAATAACAATGTCACCTATCAAATTATCCAAGTTTGACGTACATATATATTTGATTTAGAGAAATATAATCTTGCTAAGATTTTAGTATTATTTTCTGTTTTTCATAGAATTTCTATAGTTTTTTTTTCTTGAAGGTTTATGTGTTCAAATATTTAATTTATTATTGAAAGTCTTATTGATGTTGTGTACCACTGCATATATAATCAATGATTCATGTTGATTCGCATTTAATTTTGTTAGGAAGTTGTAATGATCATGCAAAATCATTTTTTCCTTCTCCATCATGTCTTCTAAGAGTTTTATGTTATATTTTTATTCAGTTTTCATTGTTTTAATTGTTAAATCGAGTTGTTGTGAATTTTTTTAAATTGATAATTGATAATTGTTACGTTTTTATATACATTTATTGTTAATTGTTAATTTTTTTTATTTAACTTTTAAATATTTAAATCATATTAATATTTTTCTGATTTTATAAATATGTTGATATGAATCAATCAGATTGAATTTACTTTTTTGTTGGACATAATTTGTTAAGTTAAATTTTGATGATGGTTTGGTTTAAAAGCTGATGTGGACCAATTAAATCAAATTTTCTGTCCTAATTATACTTAACATTTTTTATTCAATGAATATGCTGATGTGGACCAATCAGATCGAGGTTTTTTTAATCCTATGTGGACGTCCTCAATGAACTATGCCATCAACTTTTATATATTATATAGTGTAAATTTTGATAGAATAAAAAATTATTTAAGTAACTATCTAAGTGAAAAAATTGATATATTTGTGATTATAGTTTTTTTATCTTTTGGGAATAAATTTTATATAAAACTAGAACAAATGTTAGAATTCAAAGAATACAATAGTGTACTATTTTTAAATAGGTTTTTAATACCTAATAAAAGAAGAGTAAGTATAACTAATATTCATTCTATGTATTCTAAAAAAAATTTTAGTTAAAAGTGCAGAATTTAAAAATATATCAATTCTACCTTTTTTCCTTTTTTTACATTAAAACATTAATTAATATCTTTTTTTTAAATAGCTCCATTTCCATCATTTCATTACGTTTACATTTTTATGGAGATCCATGACTGATGATTTTACATATAACCTTTTTCTATTAATTTGTATAATTAGTAATAAATTACAATTATCTAACATATATTAAACAGGAAGCATTAGTGACTTATGTGTCATTATATCAAAATTTTGAATTTTTTAAATCTCAATAATGGTTAAAAACTTAAATAATTTATAATTGCAACCAAACACAATCTTTCTTGCAAGCAAACAAAAACTTCTTTGATAATTTATTTTTAATTGTATTTTATGTTTTAAAAATCTGTAATTAATATTTAGATTTTTATACATAATTTAAACAATTCGATTTAAATAAATATGACATAAAATTTAAGTGAATCTTTGTTTTTCTAAAAAAATTTCTAACATATATTAAACAGGAAACATTAATTTATGTATCATCCTCATTCTAATATTTTTTATTGATTTATTTTTGAGTGCTATCCTTATTACCAAACACTTTATTTTAAATCACTTAAACTAAATCAAATTTATTTCAAATCAATCACAAATAATTTGATAATTTTATTGGTTTAGTAAATTAAATGTAAACCGCCCTTTGTATAAGCTTAAATTAAAAACAAAAATAACTAAATTTTTGCAAATATTGACTGAATATTTTTAGATACCCAAAATTTTTTAAAAACTTAATAAATTATAGAATATCTCTTAAATATTTTTACAAATATTATCCCACACAAACGTGCGGGTAGTAACCTAGTTTAAATTTGAAACTCAAATCTCTTAATTAAGCAATAATGGATCATTAGCTAAATCATCGGGTTAAAAAGACTTCCACCACCAACTAATATCTAACTTAATATAAATTAACTAATAAAAAATAATAATGAAAAATATTATTGATTATAAAACATTATTTTTATTTAATTTTTATCTAAAAATTTAAAAAATTAAATAAAATAAAACAAAGAAAGATTTCTTAAACATCTTATATAATGAGATAAAGAGAATGGCATGTAATGATATGTGAAAAAACAGAGAAAAATTGAAAAATAAAAAAAAAAAAGTTGTCAACTGGGTTCATAATAAATAATAAATCTCAAGTATACTTTGATTGATGAAATTTCTGTTAGAAAAAAGAAAAAAAATAGGAAAAGATTTAGTATATGTCGAATATTCAACTTTTGTATGTGAATATTCAACGAAAAGAGAGCTAATATATTCAAATTGCATACTCAAGTTTTGAACGACTTAAAAAAAAAATCGTTGATAAAATATTGAACTACAAAAGACGTAAGGTTAATATTATTTAGCATCCACAATAGATTCTTTGTTTTGAATATTTGATATAAAAATAAATGGGAATTAAAAGAAATAAATCTAAGATTTTGATTTGTATTTTTAATATATATATATATATATTTACTAGTAATTAAGTTTTGTTGTTTATTTTTTACTATTAAATATTTTAAAAATAATATAAAATTTTGTTATCATAAATCCGCGTATATGCGGGTTTTAATCTAGTATAACATAAACAGAAATAACTAACTAAAAAGTAATAGAAAATTTAGAAAAAAGAATATACTCAAATATCAAAATCTTATTTTGTTTCTAAAATTATTTCATATCTAGCTGAATTTTTTTTTTTATCTTATCACACAGCTAATATACATATATTAGGTGATCAACCTGCACCGTGTTCAAGCTATAAAACATTTTATATGTTCAATTATGATTAATATAATATTGAAGATCTTTTAATTCTATATGATTAAGTATATATTAATAATAAAATAATAAAATAACGATAAATTAAATATAAATATTATATGTTTCAATAGAAAAGGAAAATAAAATTATTAACTAAGATTTAAAATAAGGTTTCTTTGGATAAAAAAAATGTAAATATGTTAATTAAATAAATGGAAAATATTTAAATATATAATAATTTATTTAATATTTATTTTTGGCCCGCATGCATATGCAATCATAACTTTTTTTATAAATATAATTAGTTGTAATATTTAAGTATTGTTTAATTTTATTATACATTAAGTAAATGTTATGTTTTCATAGTGTTTAACAACAATCACACAAACGTTTCATATGATTTTGTGTCTTTTGAAATTTTTTTATTTTTTCTTGCGTTTACATATATTAATTAATAATTAAATTCTTATAAAATGTTTTGAATATTATCTATATAATACTTTTTTTCTCCTTACATAATATAATCTTACCAATATATATATTTTAAGTATACATTTTTCCTTGACCTATTGCTAATTAAACAAAAATAAATTTTACCATATTTATATATCTTAAGAGCGGTGAGATGGTTGGTACGCATAAAGATTTTTTAAAAAATATGTTGTCTAACAACTAAAATTATAACCAGAGTATAATCGATGTTAACAAAATGTATGCACGAAAAATTTGCATGCGAGTTTGACTTTTGCACTATTAATATTTATATCTACATGCATATTTATAAAAAAATCGAAGTATGACTTTATGTGTTAGAAGAAAAATACAAAATATATGTTTTGTAATATATATTTTTATAATATAAGGTTGATTTTTTTGAACGACTTAAATAATTGCATACTCAAGTTTTGAACGACTAAAGAAGTAGAGTTAATATTATTTAGGATCCACAATAGATTCTATGTTTTGAATATTTGAAATAAAAATAAATGGGAATTAAAAGAAATAAATCTAAGATTTTGATTTGTATTTTTAATATATGTATATTTTTTACTAGTACTTAAATTTTGTTGTTTATTTTTTACATTTTTAATATTTTAAATAATTTAAAAATTTGTTATTATAAATTCGCGTATATACGGGTTCTAATCTAATAGAACATAAACGGAAATAAATAAATAAAAAGTAATAAAAAATTTAGAAAAAAAAAGAATATACTCAAAAATCAAAATCTTATTTTATTTCTAAAATCATTTCATATCTAACTGAAATTTTTTATCTTCTCACACAGCTAATATACAGATATGAGATAACAATAGTAAATATAAAGAGAATAAATTTTTGATTACCAAAAAAAAAAAGAGAATAAATTTTTTGTTACTTTTTTTTTGTTTTAAATTCCTTGACATCGTTTTTTTCCAAATTCAATTTAACGCACTGGCTTTATTTTGAAGACACGATTAAAAATTCTTGCTTTGCACAAAAGGGGACCCCACTCACCTCAAACTCGAGGAGACCAAAATTTCTGGTTGCTTTAGTTTATTCCACATAAATCTTCAACTTTAATCTCAACCGTTAGATCAACACTCTGATTTGACTAAACTCCACCAATAACCTAATCAGCCGGTTACCCGGTTCCACTCCATTCCCCATATATCACGCCATTCCTTGTTTCCTTCGTCTTCCACTTTCGCTCTCTCCTCTTAAAAAAAGACTCCCCAATTCTTTCAGATCTTTCAGGTTTCTCTGTTCACTCTGCTTTTTCATTATGACCGTCGATATCATGCGTATACCCAAGATGGAAGATCAAACGGCTATACAAGAAGCTGCATCGCAAGGCTTAAAAAGCATGGAACACCTGATCCGTGTTCTCTCTAACCGCCCTGAAGACCGTAACGTTGACTGCTCTGAGATCACAGATTTCACCGTCTCCAAATTCAAAAAAGTCATCTCTCTGCTTAACCGAACCGGTCACGCCCGGTTTCGACGCGGACCGGTTCATTCCCCTCCATCTTCCTCCTCCTCGGCCGCCGCTCCTCATCCACAGACCGTTTCTCAGGTGACGCCTTCTTCTAAGATCTCTTCTCCGGTTCCGGTAAATACTCCGGTGAGCTTCGTTCAGTCACATCAGCAAAGCGTGACTCTAGATTTCACCAGACCAAGCGTATTTGGCGCCAAAACCAAGAGCTCGGAGATTGTGGAGTTCGCTAAGGAGAGCTTTAGTGTATCTTCCAACTCTTCCTTCATGTCTTCGGCGATCACCGGCGACGGAAGCGTCTCAAAGGGATCTTCGATTTTCCTTGCTCCGGCGGCGCCTGTGGTTTCCTCCGCGAAGCCGCCGCTTTCTGGTCTCCCTTACAGAAAGAGATGCTTTGAGCATAACCACTCTGAGAACTTTTCCGGCAAGATCTCTGGCTCTGGCAACGGAAAATGCCACTGCAAGAAAAGGTATTGTTACGTCACAATAGAGTCGTTTTAGCATTAATTATTTATTATTTATTTACTTTCAATTTTCATAATCCCGTTGACTAGGCTAGGAGTTGGTGACGTAAAAACAAAAAAATCTGGTTTAATAATTTCTTAACCGGTTTTGTAATGGTCTAAACTCTAAACCAGTTGGTCAAGGTAATTAGTGAGAATCAACATAATTCATAACCCCGTTGGTCAAGGCCTAGGAGTCCATTCAGTTAGATTCAGTAAAGAGAACAAGAAGAATTTCCGGTTAAATACTTGCTAAACCGGTTTGGTATGGTTAAAAACAATTGGTCAACGTACTTTAGTGAGAATCAACGACAATAACTTAAAAGTTAAAACCAAAATGCACGCTTAACAATGACCAGTTAGTGGTGGTGCTGTCGTTTAGTGTAGGGAAGGTTAAAGTTTAAAATTCTTTATTTGACCATTGACTTTGTTTTAAAAAACCTGTGATGCCCGTAGTTCATGTTAGCTTACCAAGCGCACGTTAAATAATTTATCGTTTTAATTAATAACGATTATTTTTATATAATTAACAGCAGGAAAAATCGGATGAAGAGAACCGTGAGAGTACCGGCGATAAGTTCCAAGATCGCCGACATTCCATCGGACGAGTTTTCATGGAGGAAGTACGGACAAAAACCGATCAAGGGCTCACCACACCCACGGTAACTATCGTACACCCTCGCTATATCCACCGTTGACTGATTAAATCTCTAGAGATCTAACGGTGGTGCTTTGTTTTACTATGATTCAGGGGTTATTACAAGTGTAGTACGTTTAGAGGGTGTCCAGCGAGGAAACACGTGGAACGAGCGTTGGATGATCCAACGATGCTGATTGTAACTTACGAAGGGGAGCACCGTCACCACCATTCGGCGATGCAGGAGAACACATCTCCAAGTTTGGTATTTGGCTCGGCTTGAAATGGTTCAGAAGAGAGGATATGCTCAAGTGAATTAGTTTAGTAGACTTTGTAATATGTTGAGAAATAGAGAGGGTGATTTGTATTTTATTTTGTTCTCAACTAAATTAGTTTTAGAATTTTTTAGTCCTTTGAATGGATTTTTAATCTTACTACCTGAAAAAGAGGTTGACAACAAAAAACATCTTATTACAAAAATATATGTATTTACTTGAAAATATTTTTCTTGCAAGATGGTATATTAAGTTGTTGTAGTAGTTTTAGTTTGCTGTTTTTAGTGTTATGGTTAGTAGGCAAATTACCCCCATGACTCTGTTTGATCTAGTTATGATTTGTGCTGGTCGTCGATTTAGTGGAGGTTAGACATACGAATGTGTTGTTAATGCAATGTTTGACTATTATGTGAATTTTCTGAAAGTCAAAAGAGTCGGTCAACAAGATCATTATGATGTTGGAAGACAATTAATTTGATACTTACTGTGCATGTTCTTCACCTGAGGGATGGTTCCTGAGATTATCAAGGCTTTTGCAATCAAAAAGCACACTTTGCAATGCAATTAAAAGCTTACTTAAAAGCTTGAAGTTTAAAAGATATATCAATTCTTAATTTTTTTTCTTTTTACATTTAATCGCTAATTAATATTTTTTTTATAATTGATAATAAATTGCAGTTTCTATGATTTGAAATCCAAAACTTTTGGTGTATTATACGACAAACTATTGGGCCAAAAGAACTTCCATTACCAACTAATATACCTAGCTTAATATAAATCAACTAATAAAAAAATAATAATGCAAAATATTATTGGCCACAAAATATTATCTTTAATTAAATTTTACACAGAAATTTGAAAAAAATCACATAAAATAAAATAAATAACAACTTTTAAAACATCTTATAATAAAATAAAAAAGAGTAATACGTAGTGATATATCAGAAAAGTAAGAAAAAATGAAAAACGATAAAAAAAAAAGGTTGTTGATTGAGTCCACAACAAAAGATGAATCTTCAGTGAGCTTTGATATGTGAAATTTTGGATGGATTAAAAAAAGAAAAAATAAAAAAAAATAGATTTTTCTTATATTTAATATCACCTCATTCAAACATAAAGAAATACAAATAAAATAAAAAACAGAAAAATCTATAAAATATAATCAAAAGTCAAAATTTCATTTTATTTCTAAAAACAATTCATTAACTAGATAAAGATTTTGTATTATGTGACAACTAATATACATATAGCAATAGTAAAGTGTATCAATCTCGTTTCTTTAGACTTTTTAACACTTACAGATTTGTAACGGGTGGCTCCTATTGTAGCTGCAAAAGCTTTAGCGCTTCTGGTAGTCCCTACCTATAAATCTGTACAACTGGTAATAAATTGCAGTTCCTCAGATTTGGAACTCAAATCTCTTGGTGTATAAGCATTAATGAACTATTAGCTAAACCATTGAGCCAAATGGACGTCTATCACAAACTAATATATAACTTGATATAAATTAACCAATAAAAAATAATAATGCAAAATATCATAAAACAGTATTTTTAACTAATTTTTACATAGAAATTTGAAACAATAAAAAAAAATGAAACAAAGAAAAACTTCTTATATAATGAGATAAATAGACTAACATGTAGTGATCAAAAAACGGAGAGAAGAATGAAAAACAAGGAACATAAATGTTGTCGATTGGTTCCATAGTAAAGGGTGAATCTTTAGTGTGCTTTTGATTGGTGAAATTTCTGATGGAAAGAGAAGTAAAAACAAATAAAAAAATAAAAATAGTTTTTGATAATATTTAATACCGCTTGATTCAAACATAAAGAAATACAAATAAAATAGGAAAAACAGAAATATATATAAAATAAAAGTAGAAATTTCATTTTATTTCAAAATTATTGTTCTTAGGTAGATAAAATTTTTGTATTATGTGACAACAAATATACCGATGGCAATAGTAAAGTGTATCGATCTCGCTTCTGGTAGTTTCTACCTTTAAATCTGTATAATTTGTAATATATTGCAGTTCATGAGATTTGAAATTCAGACCCCTTGGTTTATAAACATTAATGAACTATTAGCCAAATCATTGGGCCAACGGGGCTTCCACCACCACCTAATATCTAACTTAATATAAATAAGTTAATAAAAAATATTATTGGTCATAAAACATTATCTTTAACTAACTTTTACATAGAAATTTGAAAAAATCAATAAATCTCCAACAAGTGTGTGATCCACCGATTCACTGAGTGATGAAACAAATAAAAATTTCTAAAATATCTTATATAATGAGATAAAGAGAGTAACACGTAGTGAAACATCGAAAAACAAAGAGAAGAATGGAAAATAAGAACAAGAAAAGTTGTCAATTGGGGTCCACAACAAAGGATGGATCTTCAGTGTGCTTTGATGGGTGAAATTTTTGATGAAAAAAAGAAACGAAAAAATAAAAGAACAATAGCTCTTAATTATATTTAATATCGCCTGATTCAAACGGAAATAAACAAAAAGAAAAAAACAGAAAATATATAGAATACAATCAAATGTCAAAATCCATTTTATTTCTAATTTTTTCTTTCTTAACTGGATAAAATTTTGTATTATGTGACAACTAATATACAAATAGCAATAGTAAAGTGTCTCGATCTTATTTCTTCAGACTTTTAAAATCTTCTGGATTTGTAACAGGTGGCTCAAAAGCCTTAGCCCTTCTGGTAATCTCTGCCTAGAAGTCTGTATAATTGGTAACAAATTGTAGTTCCTGTAATTTGAAACTCAGATCTCTTGGTGTATAAGCATTGATGAACTATTAGCGAAACCATTGGGCCAAAAGGCCTTTCACCACCAACTAATATCTAACTTAACATAAATCAACCAATAAAAAATAATAGGTCAAAAACTATTATCTTTAACTAATTTGTACATAGAAATTTGAAAAAAATCAAATAAAATGAAACAAATAAAAACTTCTAAATCATCTTATATAATGAGATAAAGAGAGTAACACGTAGTGATATATCAAAAACAAAGAGAAAAATGAAAAAGGAGGAAAAGAAAAGTTGTATATAGAGTCCACAACAAAGACTGGATCTTCAGTGTGCCTTGATTGGTGAAATTTCTGATAGAAAAATAAGAAAATAAAAAAATAAAAGAAAATAGCTCTTAATAATATTTAATACCGCCTGATTTCAACGGAAAAAAATAAAAATAAAATAGGAAAAACAGAAAAATATATAAATTTAATCAAAAAGAAAAATTCCATTTTATTTCTAATTTGTTTTTTTACTAGATAAAATTTTGTATTATGTGACAACTAATATACATGTAGCAATAGTAAATTGTCTCTATCTCGTTTCGTCAGACTTTCGAACTCTTCCAGATTTGTAAAAGGTGGCTCCTATTGTAGCTGTAAAAATCCTTATCCCTTCTTGTAATCTCCGGCTATAAATTTGTATAATAGATAATAAATTGCAGTTCCTCGGATTTGAAATCCAGACCTTCTGGTGTATAAGAATTAGTGAACTATTAGCCAAATCATTGGGCCAAAGGGGAATGTCTAACTTAACATAAATCAACCAATAAAAAAGAATAATGCAAAATATTATTGGTTATAAAACATTATCTTTGATTAATTTTTACATAGAAAATTAAAAAAATCAAATAAAATGAAACAAATAAAAACTTCTATAACATCTTATATAAAGTGGTAAAGAGAGTAACACATAGTGATACATCAAAAAACTGAAAGAAGAATGAAAAACGAGGAAAAGAAAGGTTGTCGATTGGGTCCACAACAAAGGATGGATCTTCAATGTGCTTTGATTGGTGAAATTTCTGATGGAAGAAGTAGAAAAGAAAAATAGCCTCTTGATAATATTTAATACCGCCTGATTCAAATGGAAAGAAATAAAAATAAAATAGAAAAAACTGAAAATATATAAAATATAATCAAAAGTGAAAATCTCATTTTAGTTCTAATTTTTTTTTCTTAACTATATAATATTTTGTATTATGTGAAAATACATATATCATTAGTAAAGTGTAAAAATCTCGTTTCTTCAGATCTTTGAATTCTTCCAGATTTGTAACAGGTGGCTTCTATTGTACCGTCTAATTCAAACGGAAAAATAATATTAAAATAGAAAAACAGAAAATATATAAATTATAATCAAAAGTTAATGTCTCATTTTATTTCTAAAATAATTTCTTAACTAGATAAAATTTTGTATTATGTGAATACTAATATACAAATATCAATAGTGTATCGATCTCGTTTCTGCAGACTTTTGAACTCTTCCATATTTGTATCGGGTGGCTCCTATTGTAGCTGCATTAATCTCTGCCTATAAATCTGTTTAATTGGTTATAAATTACAGTTCCTGGGTTTCAATCCCAAACCTCTTGGTGTATAAGCATTAATGAACTATTAACCAAATCATTAGGCCAAAAGAGCTTCCATTACCAACTAATATCTAACGCAACATAAATCAACCAATAAAAAATATTAATGCTAAATAGTATTGGTCATAAAAATTATTTTTGACTAATTTTTACATAGAATATTGATAAAAATCAAATAAAATGAAACAAATAAAGACTTTTAAAATATCATATATAATGAGATAAAATAGAGTAATATGTAGTGATACATCAAAAAACGAAGAGGAGAATGAAAAACGAGGAAAAGAAAGGTTATCGATTAGGTCCACAACAAAGGATGGATCTTCAGTGTGTTTTGTTTGGTAAAATTTCTGATGGGAAAAGAAGAAAAGAAAAAAAAATAGAAGAAAAATAGCTATTGATTATATTCAGTACTGCCTGATTCAAATGGAAAAAATCAAAAATAAAATAGGAAACACAGAAAATATATAAAATATAATGAAAAGTCAAAATCTCATTTTATTTCTAAAACAATTTCTTAACTAGATAAAATTTTGTATTATGTGACAACTAATATACATAAATCAATAGTTAAATGTATCGATCTCGTTTCTTCATACTTCTTAACTCTTCAGAATTTGTAACGGATGGCTCCTATTGTAGGAGCAAAAGCCTTAGCACTTCTCGTAGTCCTGCCTATAAATCTGTATAATTGGTAATAAATTATAGTTCCTGCGATTTGAAACTAGATCTCTTGATGTATAAGTATTAATAAAGTATTAGCCAAACCATTGGACCAAAGGGATTTCACCACCAACTAACATCTAACTTAATATAAATCAAACAATAAAAAATAATAATGCAAAATATTATTGGTCATAAAACATTATCTTTAACTCATTTTTACATAGAAATTTTAAAAAATCAAATCAAAACTTCTAAAGCAACTTGTTTAATAAAATAAAGAGAGTAATAGGCAGTGATACATTGAAAAATAGAGAGAAGATTGAACAACGAGGAGAAGAAAGGTTACCAATTGGGTTCAC